GGGGGGGGGGGGGGCGTGAGAAACAAGTACATAAATGGGGGCTGGTAGGAGGAATAGAGATTGTGTACATGTGAGAAATATGTATGGATACGGAGTTGACAGAGAAAAAATGGCTTGTCCCGGGCATGAAAAAGCACACAAATACATGGTGGAACGGTTTGATGAGAGACAACCTACATGGGGGTACGGGCTTGTAAGAGAAAATCGGAATAAGAGAACGGTTTGTCTTGTCCCGGCCCCCTCTCTTAGCCGGTCCTTCATGCCCAAAATAGACTTGCGTGTGCCGAGCACGCCCACCTCTCAAGGCAAAACATCAATGCTCATTCAATGTTCTTCGAACTACAGTACATGACCCTACCCATCACCACAACGATACCCGCAAACACACGCCAACGCGAGCAACAACGAAAACCACCACCCACTTGAAGAGCATGCTTCCGGCGTCGTGGAACGCCCCGCCGTCGTCACTGTGGTACCCGTACGACCGGGAGTCCCAGCCGGGCATCTTGCCCTTGAGGGGGAAGCGGCTCTCGCTGACGCCGACAGCGATACAGTCGGGGATGGGGTGGGGAGCGTCCAGCCGCGGGGCAACGACCGTCACCTGCGCGAGAAAAAACAATTCCATGCCAAGGGAGGGAACGGAGTGAGGATTGTGCGTGACATCAACAAGCGGCGGTGGGTGTGGGGACCGGGTACACCTATCTGCTTGGGGGAGACATGATGTTATCACGCACACATATATCTTGACGTCATCGTTGCCGCCGCTACTGCATACGGCGGGCCTCCCAAGGGCGCCGATGATGAAACCGAACGGCTTCTGTGACACCCGTCGCGGGACCCTCTCTCCCAGCCTTCGCTATGCACGCCACACACAAAAAAAAACAAAGTCAAATCCACGTCTCGTTATCTCCTTCTCCCCCCACTACCGACGTCACCTCGAAGTAGCTGACCAGCCTAGGCGTAACGTCCACGACGCCCCTCCCCAATGCAACCGGGAAGCACAGCACCCGCGGCAGCTTCGGCTTCTCCCCGTGCTGACCCCCGCCAGGAGCGCCGGCACCGTCCGGACCCCCGCTGGGCAGCGAGGAAGCACGCCTCCGGCGCTCTCCTGTGGTTGCGGCAGCGTCTTGCCCCAATTCGGCCTGCGGCATCGCCCCCGGCGCCGCGAATGCCCCTCCTCCCGCCTGCTGCTGCTGTGCGTTGTGTTCAAAGTGGTGGTCCCCGACAATACCCGGGTGTACAGCTGAAGCGGGAGATGCAGGGGAAGCACGCCCGACGCCCAAGCCCCCGCCGGAACCAGCGCCGCCGCTCGCCGTCGCCGCCATCTTGGCCAGCAGCCAGCGGAACAGGGCCAGCGGGGACGTCTCCAAGTGCCTCGCCAGGCTAGACCTCGCCCCGGCCCCCGTCCGCTCCCGCAAGACCGTGCTCGGGAGTGGTAGGTCGGTCCGCACGCAGCGGTTCCCGACGCCAAGCCCCCCGCGGAACTCCACCTGCAGGGCCACGTCGCCGGAAGACGAGGAGGAGGACGACGAGCGCGGCCGCTGCCCCTCCTCCGTTGCCGTTGAGGCCCACGCCGAAGCTGCTGGTGCTGCTACGCCCGGAGAGAGCGGCCTCTTCGCCGGCCGCCGCCGGACCCCCCTGATAACGAACTCGCCGGCCTTCTCTTCTGCTTCCTCGGGAGCCCGCGACGCCACGCCGCCACTTACTGCTGCCGGCGCCGCCGCCCCTTGGTTGATCGCGGCGTCACCTTCACCGTCACTGTCCCCTTCGGCTGCTGCTGCTGCTGCTGCTGCTGCTGCTGCTGCTGCGGCCTCATGGTTGTTCGCCTCTTGCTGGTGGTTGTCGTCGTCGGCTTCTTGGGCATCAACACCGTCGGCGTTGTTTGCACCGTTGGCGGGGGAGCCATCACGGAGCAAGGAGCAGTCGAAGCCCGAGGGCATCTGCTCGATCAGGGGGAAAAGCCTGCGGAAGTCGCACCCGAGGATGGAGTCCCGAAAGTGCAGCCGGCTGCGGGGAACTGGCACTGCTGGAGCCGACTGACGGACCAAAGAAACGAAAAGAGACAGCAGTAGAATAATAGCGGCAGGAGTAAGTTGGGCATGAAGAACGCGCTGAAGAAAACGAAAGCATATGGTAGGTAGGACACATCCAGATGTAGCGGACACGCCAAGTTACACGTCCGCCGACAACACGAGCTCGATGCACGCAGAAAAAAGAAGCACGCGCATTGGAACTGGCCACTTTCCTTATACCGCAAGGTGTGGTCCACTCTCCCGCCGAAGAGGGCACTTTTTCCGCGTAATACGCGGCAATGCTCACGGCACCCGCCAGGCGTGTCTAGACGGAAGAAAATGTCGTACCGAGTGCTGCCGAAGGCGGTAGCCTCTGCCGCAACCCCCCCCCCAAAGATTATCCCGCCGCGTACACACACCGGCCTCAGCAATCGCGCTCGCCCTTCCAAACCAGCCTACTGTGCTCCCCGGACGCCACAATCTTTTCAACGCTACAGCACTCACCGCCACTCCCTCGTCCTCCTCCGCGGCGTCCGACAGCTCCCACTCCCGACAACACAGTCCCCTCCACGGGTACGCCCCCTGGCACACGTCGCGGAACGACCGGCACGCTGCCGCCGCCGTCGCGAGGGAGCGGGGGTCGAGGAGCGTGCAAGCCTCCGCCAGAACGTCAGCCGAGAGAAGCCGGAGGACCGGCGGAAGGAGGGGTGGCGGGACGGCCGCGGCCGCGGTCCCATCCCCCTTGACTTCTTTCGCGCCGGCGGCACCGCTTGCGCCTGGCGGGGGGGG